GGTTATAATAGGGATTAGCAAGAATATTGAGATGACTATTTCGAATCTCAGTTGACCTCTCATCCACTGCAGAAGGAAGTGTTCATTCTCCGAATCCCATTAATGCAAGCACAACAGATCTCTTCAAAATAAGTACTTCTATATTCGTATTCGAAAGCATTTCAGCCTGACAGCTGCAGCAGCCAGTCTACAATGTGATGTGAGTGGTACTCTCAATCACTGCAAAATTGAGAGTGCAACTTGTGGCTTGGGCGAAGCTGCTGGAATAAGCAGCAAAACTTTTATTGGTAAGTCCAAATTTACAAAAGAATTCAAGTTTCAAATCACAAAATTACTAAAAATACAAAACATCAGAATCAACAGGGAAACCTATTGCATCACAAACTTGCGAGACCACAATAATATACTATGTGTAAGTCAATAGAACTAAAACTTTGAATACAAACGATGCTGAGATGGCTTACAGAGGATGACAACTCACTAGTAAACTAGTAGACATTCACAGTACACTCTTCCAATTCAGTAAAAGACAAGCTAACATTTGAACCAAAATTAATCTCCCACTTAAGACGATAGGCAGAGGAAAAAACAAGAACTTCAAGACATCACCAAAAATGAACCAATCCCGAACGCAGGTGACGATCATTTGCTTATTGCCAACAATCCCATCTGAACTGTGCACCTCACGTAGTCCAAACGCCTGATGCTGCTTAAGTTTTTCCAAGAAGCATCCATTACCTGAATACCCACTGGAAAAAATTGTAGAACCATTACTAATCTATGCAACAAAACCAGACTATTTGAATGAAAACATCAGGAAATGAGAACGTACCACACTCCACCATTCAAGTTGTATGTCCAACCAACGCAAATCTAATAGTTTCACAGAATTTGTACCAAAACCGTCAATTCTCCGTCTATTATCAATTCACTTACGAAGCAGAAGTACTCGTTCTCCGCGTCGTAATGCTCAAGTCTCCAATTAAGCAGACAGCCACTCTCAGTGCAGACTGCCATTTGA